CCTACGTACAGTTGCGGACCTGCACCTTTTTCGCCGAGCCCTGAAGGCCCATCTATTCCGTGCGGCCGGCCTGGCATAATTTGATTATGTTTTAGCGGGGTTTTTTTTACGGGTGTGTTTTTAGAACAGGCCCGTTATTTAATTCGATTTTAGAACAGAAACTATTTATTTATTATTGTGGTTTTTAGTATCGCCTGTTCACCGCCCTGAGTCCCGTAAGGGAGATAGGGCAGTATATAAATTTAATAAAATAAATAAATAAATAAACATTCCCACAAACTGATCAAAAAACAAGATGCTAGTTTGGCAAGATCCTGATGCTTCTTCGCCTCCTCCCCCCAATTTCTCCAAGGTAACCCATAGGGGATTGGCCAGATCCCAGGACCCTCCCTCAGATGCACTGCCCCCACCTGTGAAATGGCCTGTTTCAAGAGTCAGGATTTATTTGTATCTCACTTTCTTATTGCAAATAACTCAAAACATGCCCAACACACTTTCCTTTTCCTATTATACCCCCCCATAACAACAGGCACCCTGTGAGGGGGATCGGGCAGAGGGGGGGGGGACTGGGGCACAGAGAAATCCTCAGAGTGCATTTCCTGGTTGAGATAAACTTTAACCTCATTTTTCAGTTTCTCGGAGGTTTTTTGTGGGTAAAATTGAACCAAAATAGGTGTTAAAATCTCTCTGCTTTTTTATATTAATGACTATCAACGTCTTGCTGTCTTCATTAAGCAGCTATGCATCGATTGTTCTTGTTTTCTTTTGAACATATCTAAAGAATCTTTTTTTTAAAAAATTCTGAACATTTTGCCCAACCACTCTCAAGCGTTAGCTTTTCTGACACCAACAGCCCCAGCATATTAGTCTGGACTTCCCATTCCTGTGCGTGTCCTTTTTATTTCCAGATCTTCGCTAAGACTTTAGGGGAGCCGTGCTGGCATTTAGTTCTGGGTTTAAACCGTCTTCGCCTCTTATGTAATTTTTATATAGTTTTTATGTTTTAATATTTCACTTGTACACCACCCAGGGTCCCTCAGTGAGAGAGATGAGGCAGACTCTAAATAAATAATTCGCACATAAATAGAATGTCTGTATTTTCTCCTTGCCGCAATTGTTTGCAATTGTGCCGCCAACATGTGGCAAAAAGAGCTCCTTTTATCTGGGTTGATTACATTCTGTTTTTGAAGTCCACCACGTGGGATCAACTACAGTTGGCTGCAGGTTCCTTTGAAACCCAAGGTCTCCTGGCCACCTGGTTGATTTTATCACTCCTGGGATCCAAGGTCGCTCTTAAAATCAAAACAGCAGCCTGGCTCAGCTGCTGCCTTCCCTTCTCCTTTAAGGGACTGCTTCCAAGCTGGTGGCCCCCCCCCCCCCTGCACAGCCTCCTCCTTCGCCCACCTCCAGCCAGCACTCTCCTTCCAAGGGGCAGGTCTGGGGGGAGAACAGGGCAGGGCGAGGAGCAGGAAGGGCTCTCGCCACAAAATACACAATAGCAGAGTTGGAAGGGACCTCCGAGGTCTTCTAGTCCAGCCCCCCCCCCCCGCTCACGCAGGAGACTCTCTACCGCTCTGGACAAGTGACTGTCCTTCAAAGCCCCCAGGGGCAGAGCACCCACAACCTTGGGAAGCAAGATAGCCAATTGTTCTCACTGTCAGGAAAGTCCTCCTTCGTTTCATGCTGGATCTTCCACCCTTTATTTCTTGTCCTGCCCTGGGGGGGCTTTACAGAGCAGGGCAAGGGGTCCGTGCTTGCAAGAGGGACCACGCCGTGGGAAGGGCAGGGAAGGAGACCCTCTTCATGGGCCGTTCCCATCAGAGACCGGCACAGACCAAGAGGAAACTGGTGGCCACCGAGAGCGTCTGTGGTTTCCTGCAGCCAGAGCATCTGAAGTGGACGATGGAAGCAGGCAGGCCACCTGGAGCCCAGCACCTGGCCCGCCTCCTTCAGCTCTCTCCTCCAGGTGAGTCAGCACTGCAGATGGATTGGCAGGTCTTCCCACCAATCGTCTTGACCGGGTTCAGGGGCTGTTGTGGGGGGCTGAAGTCTGGGTCTTCCCTACTGATTGCCTCCGGTCTCGGGACTCTCCTGCCCTAGTCTGGAGGACAAGGCCGCCGGCTTCATTCCTGCCCAGAGGCATTTTTCTATGGGTCGCATCCTCCATCCTCAGACAGCATCCCAACGGCTGAGGTTGTGTGTGTGTGCACAGGCAGCGTGGTGACCCAAACGCCAGAGTGACCCTGCCTCCCTGTGGGGAGATCCACACGGGGTGGGAACCTCAACCCAAGCAAACCGCCCCCCCCCCCGCGGATGAAAGAAAGACAGCATCCATCTTTTTGTATAACTATATTGGTTTAAGAAAATACAGAAATACTGCACAATTGCCATCAGATCAGCAAAGCAGGCCTTGGCAGACCCACCCAACAGCACCCCAAATTAACAGCACCCCAAATTAAAAGGAGAGGCTTCTCCAAAGAGACTGCTCCCAGTGGTGCCCTTTCCTAGGACGGAGAAAGAGCGAGCAAGCAGAGGAGAACGCCTTGGGTCCAGGTGGAGCAAAGAAACCCCCCCCCAATCAGCAAGCATCTGCACCAGGCAGGAGCAAGCAGTGGGCTGGTTTATGTTTGGTTGGTGCCCTCCCCTCCTCCCCACCCCCCAATTTAAAGGCAGGCTGCTGTCCCCACGAAGGAGGCAGGGCGCCCCACAGCAGCCGTGGGTGCCCAATCCTGCCAGCGTTCCCGAGGAAAGAGGCAACGCTCAGAAGAGTTTTCAAAAGGGTCTCTCTCTGCGAGGGCAGAAGGGATGAATGGCAGGAGAAAGAGGGGTGCTGCCCAAAAAGGGGGGCCGGGGAGACCCCCATGGGAGGCAAGAGCAGAAGTTGGAGAATCACAGCCACTTCCTACTCTGAGTGGGGAAGAACCGTCTATTCTGGGCCAACTTTCTGAACAGGACAGGGGTGGGGTGGGGGTTCAGGCTTGCCCCCACCAGGCACGCGGGACATGCCTGGAAGGGGGGGCAGAGGCCATCCACGGGGCGCCCCTCAAGAAGCTCTCCAGCTCTTCCTCCTTCCAGGAAGCCAAAGCAGCAACTGGCCAGTGGGAGAAATTATCGATCCTCCCTTTGGGAGAAGCCAGCTCCCTCCCCACAAGAGGGTTAACGTTTCCCAGCAAATTCTCAAGGGGGGAGGGCCCAGAACAGCCCATCCAAAAGGATGGTGGGGGAGGGATCCCACCAATGGATCCTCTGGGGCGGGAGAGACGCTCTGGACTCATGGGTCAGGAGGGCAGCCACCCATCAACGGCTGAGGAGCATCCGGTTGAAGAACATTCCCTTAAGGAGGGGTTCTCCATCTGGGCAACTTTTAAGAATGGTGGACTTCAAGTCCCAGAATCCCCCAGCCAGCAGAGCTTTAAGCTAATGTTTCCACTCCCGTACAAGAGCTGCCAGACGGGACTGCCGATCTCTGCTCCAAGCCCAGCAGAAGACCTGGACCTGTCCTCCTGGGGGAGCAGAGAGGGGCCCGTTTTGGAAAGCAGAGCTGGCACCTCCCTCTCCCCCACCCCACCCCACGGCCAACAGGCAGCAGCTCTGTCTCAGAGCAGGAGCTGCAGGCCAAAGACCCACATCTCTCCCCCCCCCCGGACTGGATCCCACAGCCGGGAACTGAGGGCACTTCTCTCCAGTCATTCCTCGCCATTCTGGAGCCCTGGAAGGCTGTCTGCAGCCCAGGCGTTATTCCTATGCCGGACACAGGGAGCCCACTTCTACATCCCCTGCCATGGCAAGGCACTCTAGACATGCCCAGGCACCGTGCGCCATTGGCAGGGTTGGGCAAGGGGCCGGGCGGAGAGATCAGCATTGCCACCGAAGCGAAGCGGGTCAAGAAGCATCTAAAGGCGCTTCTCTCCTTCCAAGGGAGGACGGGAAAGGCCACACTGGAAAACAAGGCACTTTCTAACTTTCTGGTAAACATTCCTTGAAGCAAAGAGTGGCTGTAAACTTAATTTCAGCCTAAAACTGTGGCGCGGGCCGTCACGTGGATAGGTTTGGAACACGGGCCGGCTTTTTTGCAGGGAGAATTAAATTTTGTTAAAAAGCACAAAGTCATCCTGAATGGAACCAGAGATGACTTCTCTGAAACACCTGACTAAAATAAGGATAATTATTATTATGTTTTAAAGTGTTTTAATGCAGGTATTAAACAACCTGATTTGGGCTGGAGTGGACTGCATGTTTCTCAATCTTGGCAATTTTAAAATGGGTGGACTTCAACTCCCAGGATGCCGCAGTCGCCCATACTGGCTGGGGTATTCTGGGAGTTGAAGTCCATCCACCTTAAACTTGCCAGGGTTGAGAACCCTAGGTTCAATATTCCCCATGTATCATTGCAAACCAAAATGGGTTCAGCATGAAAGTGTCCCTTCCATTTTCAAAATGTAAACAAAGGCCAACTCTTAGCTTGTAGTGTCTTCAAGAGAGTTGGACTCTTCTGCTCAAGTGCATGGATTGCCAGGGAGCAAGGCAAGGAGTTAACCATAGTTAGTTAGTGGTTAACACCCTCACAGGGAGATTTAAGTGCAATACATTTAAAGAGTTTAACCCAGAACAGTGTTTCTCAAACTCGTCAACTTTAAGATGGGTGGACTTCAACATGTTGGCTGGCTAGGGAATTCTGGGAGTTGAAGTCCACCCATCTTAAAAGTTGATGAGGTTGACAAACACTGACCCAGGAGGAGAAAAACTTTGAAAGGTTTTTTTGGTTTTTCAAAAAGAAAGCTTTGGTATTCAAGGAAACACACACACCCGTATCCATATACGCCTATTTGCACGCTCTCCCGTACTAGAAGAAAAATATTAAAATTATAGTTCTTCTTTTCTTTTTGGCAGGACTCCTTTTAAAATTTTGTGATAGAAAAAAGACCTTTCCCCCCTCTTCTTGAAAAAAAATCCTGAAGCATCTTCAGTGTGTATGTATATATATAGAGAGAAATTGTGTATAGATATGCAAAGGTGTTTATAGAAAATTTTATAACATCAAAAGGAGAGGGACTTCAAGCAGGAAACATCGGACAACTACATGAGGCTACAATTTGATGGTTCCTATGGGGAGAGAAAGAGAGAATACAGAATTACAGAGTTGGAAGGGACCTCAGATGTCATCTAGTCCAACCCCTTGCTCAAGCAGGAGACCCTCTACCATTCCAGACAAATGGCTGTTCAATCTCTTCTTAAAAGCCTCCACTGACGGAGCACCCACGTCTTCTGGAGGGAAGCCGTTGGACTGAAAGTCAGGGCTGATCCAGAACTGGGCCTTTCTCAAAATAGCAGGAAGCAAGACGTGGGAGACCCAGACATGGCTGCTGGTCCAAAATGCTTATGGGGCAGGAACACATTGACCTCCATGCCCCAGAAGAAAAAACAGCTCCTCCCCCACCTTTGTGTGCTCCAACCTCTCTCCAGCCCCATTTCGGCACCCAAATTGATTAGTACGACCAACATCTGCACAAGTTCCTGAATGCCAGGGAGGAACAGGGGAGACAATTATTAAACCATTTTTCAGAGTGCAAAATGTTTTGCATAAAAGTCCCCCAGCTCAGCGGCACTTTGGACGGTCACTGAGCAGGCCCAGCGAAGCTCCACTTCCATTTGCTTGGGAGAACAGAGAGATGGGGGTCCGTGGACAGTGTGCTGGCTGCACAGACTGGCTCTGCCCACTGCACGCCCACGCGTGCACACACACACACACACACACACACACACACACACACACACACAGAGCTGTCCTCATGCCGAACCTCGACATGGGAGTGTCCAGCCCCAAGGAGTCATGCAATTCCACAGGGGGCGAGACATGATACCCAAACTGTACCTCCCCTGTTCCAGCCACCTCCAAGAGGCTTCCACAGAAACAGAGGGCTGGATGGGAGCTCAGAGGTCTTCTAGTCCAACCCCTGTTCCAGCAGGAAACCTTATACCATTCCAGACAAGGCATACAGCCCTGGGCACAAAGCCAACTGGGGTTGACTGTTCTCATGTGAACTTTGCAGACCCAGAATGCAACCTCTCAGGGTCCTCAGCTGCCCTGCCCCCCCCCCAGGCACGCTGTTCAGGCTTTCCAAAATGCCCTGACTGGCGAGCCCTGTGTGGCACAGAAGGTGCCGGGAGGCTCTGTGATGCCCACAGCCAACTCTCTGCCTGCCTGGAGGCATCTTAAAGCACAAAAACACAGCGACCCGTCCTTGTCACGCACTCCCGGCAAGGGGAGGAGGGGCTGGCCACTCGCAGAGGGAGGGCTCCCCCCACAAAGCCACCTTTTCCGGGCCAGGACGATGCCTGCCTGCGGGGGCGGCCCCCGGACTGACCTGGTGGCGTGGGCTAGAGTTGCCCAGGATGTAGGAATGGGGCAGGAGGCTCTCCCCGAGGCTGGTGCCCCCACTGCGGTAGCCGTGCGTGACGGTCAGGCTGGAGGAAGAGGAGGTGGTAGACACATTCGTGCCCCCGGATGACTTCTCTGCTGGCCGCCCACATGTGCCACACACCACCGAACGGGAACGCAGGTTGTACTCGCCCGGATCTCCGCTGCCGCAGCTCTGGAAACAGAAGTAAGACGATTAGAGGCAAAGCCTGGCACCGTCCGGACCAGGACTCCCTCTGGGGCTGGAGATATTAGGTTCGTATCTGTGGGGTCCTTGGTGCCCTGTGAGCTTGCTGGTTTTCTTGCAGACGTTTCATTACCCAACTAGGTAACTTCATCAGCACATGGAAGATGTCACCCAATTGGATAATGAAACGTCTGTAAGAAAACCACCAAGCCCAGAGAGCTGCAAGGACCGCACAGTTCAACCCCGAGCTAAAAGCATTCTCTTCTATCCGGTTTGTATCTTGCAAGGACACAATTCCTCTTGAAACTGGCTGGCCGTGGGGCTTAGAAGCCTCAAACAGCCTCGTGTGGAAAATACATCTAATTATTCCAGAAATAAAGAATCACACTGGAACTGAGGCTAAAGACATTTTTCTATTTAATGTGCTTGTTAAATTTACACACCTGTTAAATGCGAGCACCTTAACCAGTTGAATTCGAAACTGGCTTTCCAACGTTGTCTGAAGTGTCCAATACACACAAAAGGAAATACTTCAGTGATTCTGATTTCAGGTTTTGATTAAGAGATGTCTATTTCATATTTTTTTAAGTACCCCCTGATACTTGGGAAGATTCCATTTTGTGATTCCAGAGATCCCCTAACATCATTTTCCTCTAGTCCACTGGTGGCGAACCTGTGGCACGGGTGCCAGAGGCGGCACTCAGAGCCCTCTCTGTGGGCACGCGCGCCGTCGCCCCAGTCCTAGGCCTTCAGCTGGGTTTTATAAAACCTTTTCGCTTTAGGCCTCCGCCGTGTGCAAAAAAAAAAAAAGTTCAATCAGTCAATTTCAACTTCTCGTGGGAAAAAAAAAAAGATCTTGCAAAGTTGGAATTGATTGATTGAACTTTTTAGTCCCACCCAGTCTGCCGTTACCATTGCAGCCACGCCCACCCAATGGGCCACACCCACCCGGCACTCGATGATGCATAAGTGGGTTTTGGGTTGCAGTTTGGGCACTCAGTCTCTAAAAGGTTCGCCATCACTGCTCTAGTCTCTACACAAAGGGACAGGTGCCCAGAGTTGATTGAGTCAGTGACATGGATGGCATATAAATTTAATAAAACAAACGATACATAAAATAATTACTGGCTTTACTAAAATTCTTTGCAAACCAAGCAAGAAGAGGTATATAAATATTTCAATTTGTGCACCTGAGAATAATTAATTGTTAAAACTGAGGATTATTTCACATGCTTGCTTTCACTGTCATTCTTTGCAGCTCATCCCACAACTAAAGCCGTTTGCATTTTCAAAGACCGCCCCAACTGCTGCTGAGTCATGAGTCAACTCTACGAAGGAGCATGGCTGCAGCCATTATTCCTGCTCATTTTCAACTGCCACATAGAACGGAGGGAGGGAGTTTGCCATGTGCTTCACTAGTCAAAATAATTTTTTGTCCCGTGGGAACCAAGGTCAACGGCTGCTCCTGGGACTGCAGGCTGGGCATTAGGTAAAAAGCCCGCCGAGAAATGTATTGGGGAACGTAGTTACCTGCATAGCTTTAGGGCTGGGATTTCTTAACTTTGTATTGGGGAATTGTTACATGTATCTTCAGACTTGGTTTCACTTTTGACGTGCCGAAACTTTGTAACTAATAAACATGTTCTTTGAGGAATTTGCAAGCCTTGGAATTCTGCTTTATTTTTCTCTGTCGGAACCATGACATCATGCTTGCTAACCCGTCCCCCGAGGAGCAAGCAGATGCCCCCCTCCCGTCCCCCCAAACTCACATGGTGATGTTGGCCGTGGCTGCTGCCATCCTCATCCTCCTTTTTATCACCGTCATTCTCAGTAACTGAGCGCACCAGCTTCCGCATGGCCACCTCCTGGAGGGAAGGAGGGAAAGAGGAAGAAATGGGAGGACTGATACTGGCCCACCCCAGCGCAGCAGGATTTGGGGGGGGAAGCAGCCGGGCCGGGAAGGAAGACAGGAAAGCAGGCGGGCAGGCAGGAAGAGCGCCTTGCGCCCAGGGCCATCTTCAGCGAAGCTCCAGGCCACACCAAGTGTGTTCCCCACACCAGGAGGGGAAAGCCCCTTCCGTGCTGGCACCAAGAAAAGTGCAAGGATGTATCCACTGACAGGTTAGTCCCTGGGGTCCCATGTGACGTCCCCTCCCCTTGCTTATTTGTTTTGACAGGCTTATGAATTGTTTCAGAATTAAACGGGAATGAAAAAAGTCACAAAGACATCATCCTGATTTCCAGAATTTGGGGGGGAAGGGGAATTTTTAGGAAAGAAAATTGGGGGGAGGGGGGCCTACATCCACCAGATGAGGAAAAGAGGCAACCAGGAAGAGAAAAGAGGAGAGTAGCCCCCAGCCATTTTACAATTATGCATCCATAATAGGACATTTATTTTTGTGTAATTATAACTCCTCCTATATTTCTAACTGTTTTTTTATCTGTTTTTATTGTATTTGTAGGCCACCCTGGGATACTGTCGAGCCCCACGAGGCCGATCCGTTCGAGCAGGAGGGAAGCCGGGTGCTACTCCGTCGCCGCCCAGCCGCCCCTCGCCTGCTCTGCCGCCGATCAGCAGCCCTCGCCATTGCAGTCCTAAGGCGCCTCGCGGGGCCGACATCTACCAGCTGGGAGGGAGCCGCCGTCGCTGGCTGGTGCCGGCGTGCGGACGGATCTCGGAGCTGGCCAGAACTGGGAGGGGCTGACATTCCGACCATTTCGCTGCTCATTTAGGACCGGATGGTGGCTTGAGGGGTGGGGCAGGACTTATGAGGGTGGGGGTGCGCGCGTAGCCCATATAAGGCACTGGGAGCACTTTACTCCCAGTGCTGACTTAATCATTGTACGGAGTGATTAAAACTGCCATTTCTTTGAGCACCAAAGGAGGACCTTGACAGATACTCTGGACAGCGTGATTAATTACGCAATCCAGAGGTAGATTAATTAAATTAATTAGACAAATAAATAATGCTCTACCCCTTTGCCCACCCACACAGTGCTCTTTGCAACGAGATGCCTTACCTCCCCGCTGGAGGTGAGGAGGGCGGTGCGCAAGCTGTCGCCGGAGCCCCATGAGCTCTGGTTCTTCCACACCATGTCCGTGGGGGGGTTATGGGACACCCCCGCGCCAGCAGCCCAGATCTTGCAGGAGGAGAAGGAAGAGAAGAGGTCAATCACCCTTGCAGAGCAGCTCCCTGCGGCTGGCACAGGCACCAGAGGGGTGGGGGGCTCCTCCTGGCCCCTCGTGCCCCTGCCGCTTCTCCCGACCCGGGACCCCAACCGTTCCTGCCCACCAAGCCCACCGCTGCTGCTCACCGTAACCAGCTGGCCGGCCTTCAAGGTGAATTTGGGAGGGAACCTGTAGCAAATGGGCGCGTCTTCTCCATTCTGGCGCTTGATCTGCCAGTTTCCCAGGGGCTGGTCCTAAGGAGGCACAAAAGAGGAGCCGTGGCAGGCATCTACGGGGGGGTTGGGTGGCCCAAGGGATGCCAGGCCGGTTGGGGGGCTGGGCTAGCCAAAAGGGAGGCAGTTCTGAGGTTTTCCTAAGCTGACCCCATTTTGCCTCCACCAATACCCGAGACTCGAACACTCTGCTCACCCGGAATCTGCATTTCTTCAGCATGTTATGGAGATCTTCAAGCATGCACGTCATGGTTGTTCTAATCTAAAGGGTTTGTTCAAAAGGCCACTGGACTTCTTCTCTTCCTTGAATGTGTTTTGCTTTTCATCCAAGAAGCTTCAGAACTGAAGAAGCTTCTTGGATGAGAAGTGAAATGTTTGCAAGGAAAAATGTCAAGGAAGTCCAGTTATCTTTTGAACAGCAGCTTTGGGACATTTTGGGGGAATCTATTACTCAAAGTTACAACCATTTTGTTCCAGAGAGAATGTCTCCAAAGACTATGAAGTTTCAGTCCCGAAGTACGTGCATTTTAGGAGAGAAGTGCCTGCAGCTCTGTATTTGGGGGCTGAGCTTTGAAAACACTGCAAACAATTGCAGGAACATGTCAAAAGAATCATAACACACACACACACACACACACACACACACAAGCTTAAAGTGAAATTGGAAGACTTTCTCCAGATTGGTCCCAATCCCAAAGAGCTGCAGCCAGCTCCTCCTCTAAGTTGTCCATCCCTGGATTTGATGATTATAAAAGAAATAGAAGATAGAAAAATGTTAAGTAAATATTAAGTAACCAGGGAGTGAGAAGTTAATTTACATCTGTACTTAATAACTCTTATAAAAGAAAATCTGAAGTGGCTTCTTTATGTTTTCTTTTTCTTTTTTTTCTGCACTCTTGTCCTTGTCTTTTTCTTCTTTTTTCTTCTCTCTTTACTCTATTAGTTTTATCTTGCTTCTTCAAAACTTTATATATAAAAAAGTTCTCCATCCCTGTTTACCAGAAGCCAGTGAGACTTCACTGGTGGGAGCCACAAAGCACAGCCAGTTCTCTGAAGCTGGGAAGTCAACCTGGATCCTGCCAGGTACTTCGGCTCTCGCAAAATCCAGCCATCACCGCTTACAATTGCAAACTCAAGGAAACCCTCCATGGGTTCAGAGGGAGGGGAGCCCTCTCCTTTCCCAGGTTCCTGATGGTTGGCGGGGGGGGGGGTCCGCTCAAAAAGGGAGCAGGGAGGCCAGAACAAAACCTAAATTGTGGGGTCCTTGGTGCTCTCTGAGTTTGGCGGTTTTCTTGCAGATGTCCCATGACCCAGCTAGGTAACATCACCAGAGCAAACACGTCCCCTATGGCAGGCAGCATCAGATAAGCAGACAAACAAGCAGAAAACAATCTAGGAACCACCAAAGAGAACCCCCCCCCCCTTCTCCCCAGAATCACTGGCAGGGCAAACTACTGTTCATAAACAGAGACCAAACCCCACTTCCTTCTAGCACTGATGGTGTTACCTAGTTGGGTCATGAAATGTCTGCCAGAAAACCACCAAACTCAGAGAGCACCGAGGACCCCATATTCCTCCTCCTCCTCCTCCTCCTTCTCCAACCCCCCTCCCTTCTAGCACTGATGATGTTACCTAGTTGGGTCATGAAACGTCTGCAGGACAAACCACCAAACTTACAGAGCACCAAAGAGTCCTCCTTTTCCCCTCCTTTTCCTCCAAAACTACTTTCTCCTCCTCTTCCCCCTCCACCCGCTCCTCCTCCTCCTCCTCCACTCCCTTCTAGCACTGATGATGTTACATAGTTGGGTCATGAAAGGTCTGCCAGAAAACCGCCAAGCTCAGAGAGCACCGAGGACCCCAGAGTTCGAGACTGAGCTGCAGAGATTCTCTGCTATCAAAACCTAAATTGGGCTTTCTTCCCTTTATCAGGGAGTTGGGTGGCCCATACATTTAAATAAATAAGTAAAAAAGCTCAATCTTTAAACTAGAGTAGGGTTTACTATTCCTAGCACAGCTGCCCTCCACTTTTCCTTCCCATCGGACGTTTACGGGGCCACCTTAAAAAGAGGCGGAGGCTGCACCGGACCTTGGGTGTGTCCACTCTACAAAGACATGGCTGCCTCTTGCAGCTCCAAAGGTCAACTGGGGTTAGAATCAGTTTATGCCCTCCAACCTTCCCACTCCAGGTCTCAGACCCTCAACTTCTATATTCATTTCATTTTTAATTTTCAGGTTCTGCCATTCCGATGGGAGGGGGGAGGTTTGGAGTGTTAGGTTGGGGTGAGGTAGACACTTGTGGGTCAGGGAATGTATTTCCTTTACTTTGTTCTTTGCCCTTTTGATGATCTCCCTGGGTGTGAACGGAAGAAGGAATGGGCCCAGGGCCCCCTGTCTTATCTCCACTCCGATGGGAGGAGGCCATGAGGAAAACGAAAGGCCCGAGAACGGTGCCTGGGAATTGTGTTTTATCAATCTCGTTACCATGACAACTTTGCACCTGTGGATTGGATGAAACCGAACTGGACATCTGGCTGGGGTGGGGATTGAAGGGGATGTTTTATTGTAACATTTCACGTGGGAAAATCTTAGCTCTTGCTTTGCTCTCCTGCTATCATTGCCTCTCAATAAAAGTTCCTTTTGAGACGATGCCTGTTTCACGAGTTCTGCTTCCTTGGGAGGACTAGCCGAGGCAGAGCCTTACATTAAGCAAGATCTGCAAAAAAAAGGTCAACCCGGAGAGGCAACCGCCCTATTGTGGGGACGGTGCACACCCTGTGTCTCCATGGCAGCGAACAGGACGAAACGAAGTGCTGGGGAGAGTCTGCTGCAAAGACCCACCCAGAAGAAAGCTCCTCCGGATGGATGGAGAAAACAGTAAATGCAGAAAGCTCCGTGCAGCCAAGATGGTTGGTCGGAGTAGGGAAGAGAGAAGAGTGGGATGGAAGAGCCCAGCGAGTAACCTTCATCAGAGGCAGCTGGGAACAGGGCTGGAGGCGAGAGATGGAAGTGCTCCATGATGATGAGGAAGAAACCGACGGAGAGCAGGAACCAACAGACCACATCCTGAAGCGAGCCTTTCAGGACTGAAAAACGAAGTCCGGATGGCGCAAGAGCAGGAGTGGGGAACAGCTCGAAGAAGCCAAGTGTGGTGAGCATGCACCCGTGACGACTGAGCCTGCGGGGGGGGGGAGGTAACAGGCTCCACGGAAACTGTGGTGACCACCCCTGCAGCCCCACAGCGAGCCGCTCCCTGGAGGGCGAACGCTCCACCAGCACTCATGGAGAGAGCCCCGCCGGAGGAGCCAAAGCCAAAGCTCCCTGGTGAGGAAGCCAGAGTCAGAGTCACCTTAGCCCTGCAAGGGCTGCAACTCAATGGATGCTCACCCTGCGCGGCTGCATGAATGGTGCATCCTGGCCGAGGAAGTGGAGATCGACCAGAATTGCAACCACACCAGGAAAGCGTGGAAATGGTCTCCACCGGAAAAGAAGGGGGAGATAACCAAAGCCTTGGCTGTGCCGGCACACTCAACAGCCTGCTTCAAATGTGGAAAGAAGGACATTGAGCGGTGGAGTGCTGCAGTAACACTCTGATCAAGAAAGGCAACTGGCAATCTGGAGGGAAGCCAACCAAACCTACCCAACGCCCAAAAGACACGGCCCTGAGGAGCACTGAGGTCATGAGGTTCCGTCCAACCCCAAAACCCAGGGATGGAATTCCGACCCCACCAGAGGACAAGCCAGTGATGCCAGAGAGCGACTACGACAACGACCCCCTGGTAAGTGGACCGATCGTGCCAATAACTCTTAGTCCCGGGCAGAGAAGGAAAGGTGGCCCTAACCGCCCTCTTAGACTCAGGGCGCACCCGGTGTCTGGTCACTCAGCCCTAGTAGGAAATTGGGCGACCAGCTAAGAAAAGTAAAAAAACTCATTGCATTCTGCCAACGTGATGGATCCGTTGCAGGGGGCTTCCCGGCTACTCTGGCCACAGAAGCCCTGGGGTTAATCATGGGAAGCCACTCAGAGACTCACTTTCATCGCGGCTCCTGGAACGGAGTGGTCCCTTGTCCTGGGGTTGGCATGGCTGAAGAAATGGAACCCGCTAGTAGACTGGAGAATCGGACGCTTAAAATTCCCCAAAGAGAAGAACCCCTTACCCAACAAGGGCTGCCTGCCAGGAAGAGAAGAAACCTGGGAAATAGCAGCCACTTTAAGTGGGGAAGCCCTGCGGACCACACCTAGAGATTATCGTGATTTGACTGAGATTTTCAGCAAAAGAAATTTGGATGAACTGCCCCACACACACACACACTAACCCACAGACTGTGCCATTGAAATCAACCCAGGGGCTAAGCTACTAAAATTGTATTCAATGACCCCCAGGGAATTAACCGAACTACGCCAGTTCATTTATAAAAATCTGGCCTGCGGATTCATCCAGCGGGCCAGAACCCAGGTGGCTGCACCCGTGCTGTTCAGAGAGAAGAAAGATGGGTCTCTTTGTCTCTGCGTGGATTATAGAGGTTTGAACGCAGTATGCATGGAAAATGTGGACCCCTTGCCCCTCATGAAAGATATGCTGGCCCACCAATCAAAGGGAAAAGTATTTTAATAGGCTAGACCTGCAAGAGGTGTACTACCGAGTTAGAATCAAGAATCTATATCTGGACAATATATTAATCTACATCAAAATGAAAGCCGAACATGTGAAATTGGCTATCGGATCTCACATGACGGAGTGGAAATGGATCTGGAAAAGGTACGCACCATTCTGGGATGGGCAGCCCCCGCACCAGAAAGCAACTACAAAGCTTTCTGGGTTTTGCGAATTTCTACTAGCAATTCATCCCTTCCTTGGCCCCAATTGCCTTACCTATCACAAACCTATTAAAAACAAGCCAGCCTCTAAAATGGACTATGGAGTGCCAGACGGCATTCAAAAAGTTAAAAGAGGCTTTTCGTGGCGGATCTAATATTAAAACACCCAGACCCAGAGAAGGGATTCGTAATTCAAGCTGATGTCAGCGATGTAGCAGTGGAAGCGGTGTTACTCCAAAAGAACGAGAAGGGCCGATTACAACTCTGCACCTACACCTCAAAAAAATGATGAGAAATCGAACAACACTGGGTGGTCTGGGAGAAGGAAGCTTATGTGGTACGCTGGGCCTTTCTCACCTGGAGGCATTTCCTGGAAGGGAGCAAAATCCCTTTCCAAGTATAGCTCTCAAAATGCCTAGGAAGTTGTATCCCAAGCAAGCACGGTGGGCCCAACATTTCCATCAGTTCAATTTTACTCTCCACTACTTGCCCGGAGGGAAGAATTGTTTAGCTGATGCCCTATCTAGAATGTTGCAATATAACAGCACCAAAGCGGATGTAGTCACGCTGTTATTACCAGCACAGCAGCTGCCAGCCACAGTGATTACAAGATCACAGAAGATAACCCCCATGCCACTAGACAGTGATGCCTCAACAGCATTCCGGGCAAGTAGTGGAGAGTAAAATTGAACTGATGGAAATGTTGGGCCCACCGTGCTTGCTTGGGATACAACTTCCTAGGCATTTTGAGCTTTAGAGAAAGACGAATGGTTCCTAAAGCACCACTCAATGGTCCTCAATGGAACCACATCTACGTGGAGGGAAGTGTGTAGTGGGGTGCCCCAGGGCTCTATCTTAGACCCAGTGCTCTTCAACATCTTCATCAATGATTTGGATGAGGGGATAGATGGGGAAATCATCAAATTTGCAGACGACACCAAGCTGGCAGGAATAGCCAACACTCCAGAAGACTGGCTTAAGATACCGGAGGATCTGGACATACTTGAACACTGGGCTCTATCTAACAAAATGAAATTCAATGGTGAAAAAAGTAAGGTTCTATATTTAGGCACAGGATACACCCCCTTTCAAGTAGCCACAGAACGAAATGTTTAAACCAATGCCTGATCTGTCAACCAATGAACCCACCATTCCATCCCTTAAGGCAAGGGTTCCCAACCGGGGGTGCTAGATGATATTCCAGGGAGTGCGAAAACTTGGGTTTAGAAGTTTCAAAATTATAGTGTATTTGCATAATTCGCTCCCGTTACTTTGAACTTTTTTGTAAGGGGTGTGAGAATATATCAGAAGCATTCTATGGGTGCAGGGGATAGAAAAGATTGGGAATCGCTGCCTTAAGAAATGGATGAACCAATTGCGAAACAACTCACCAATAGTCAGAAAGGCTCTAGATGAAGCCAGGAACACCTATAAAACTCGAGCAGGTAAGAATAGACCCCCAACTTTTCCACATTGAGGACAGTTTACCTATCTACTAGATTTCTGCAATCACAACCTTCTAAGAAATCAGGGCCCAAGTTCGTAGGCCCCTTTCCCATCAAACGCATCATAAATCCAGTCACTGTGGAACTGGAACTCCCCAAAACGCTAAGGCAGATCCACCCCGTGTCTCATTGTAGCTTGCTGAAACCGGAAGTGACCTCGCCTGTAAGGCCAAAATCAGCACTTATACTGCAGCCCATTATGATTGATTTGATTTTGATTTTATTAAATTTATACCCCGCCCTTCTCCCGGAGGACTCAGGGCGGCTTACAGCCAGTCTAAAACAATGGTACAATACAATACAAAATTTAAAAAGATTAAAAATAACTATTTAAATTTGGCCGCTTCTACTAAAAATTTAATTTAAAACCCCTTTAAAATACCCCTAGGCCAGTCCTGCCTG